CTCTTTCTCTCTCTCTCTCTCTCTCTCTCTCTCTCTCTCACACACACACACACACACATATTGTTTATCTCTATTTTCAATGAAAAAATTAAATTGAATTCTTATAATTTTTTCTTTACTCATTCATTTTTTTTGGGAAAATTATCTATTTTTTATTAAATTATAAAATTTCATATGGCAATTTATAATTAAATTTAAATATATTGATTTATTATTTTTTTAAAAGTATATTATATTAATAATACTGAATATTAAATTTTTTTAACACACACACGTAATTTTGTTTATTATTTATTTAATTAAAGTCTTTTTATTCCTTTCAAGATAACTTTTTATTATATGGGGAGGGGAAGGGAAATTGTCGGAATCACCACCTCGTATATAAGAATTTCACATTATTACACTAGATTCACGGGAATTCTATTTCAAATGAAAGTCTTTTAAATTCTACTAAAGTCTAAATAAGTTTTAAAATGAAAGTCTATAGAAGTCTATTAAAGACTTCCATTAATTTTGTATAAATCTACAAAATATCCACGAAATCCACAGAAGTCGTTATTTAAAAAAAGTCTATCAAAATCTTTAAAAGTCCCAATTGAATACACTCCATGTGATGATCATCTTGGTTCATCAAGCTTCGTACTCCGCTATAATTTGGTTTTGCGACCTGTTAATTACTTTGAATGGGAGGAGCTCGTGTCCTCGTCTCTCTAGCTACTTTTGTATTCCACTATAATTTAGTTTTGCGACCTGTTAATTGCTTTGAATGGTAGGAGCTCGTGTCCTCGTCTCTCTAGCTACTCGGCCAAGATTGTTACACACTTGATCTTCTCTATTTTGGCATGGGCGAACCCACATGGAGTCGTGTGTCAATGACCCCACATTTTTCCCCAAAAAATTTGTAGTTATTTCCTTTAAGGCCTATTTTGACATGCCCATTATACGATATTAAATGAAGTTGAAATCTTACATTATTAATACCATTTCGAAGTGCTCACGATCTAATTTTTCACTTGTTAATGGCGTATGAAATAGCCAACCGTAGCAAAAGCTATTGCTCTTCGAAGTCGACAATTCCAAACTAGTATTTTAAGAATTTTGATAATATATTAACTTAAAAAATTTGCCAACGATTGTACACTAGCCGAATCCACAAATTGCCTACGTCATTCAAAGCTTATTTTAAGAACTACATTGTTGTCGTATCGAATGGTCCAAAACAAATATAAAAAATAATTAAACGTACGTCTCTAAAAGAGATGTCTAACTCGTCTATTCTTTAAATTTTGTTTAAATTATTTCATTAACGTTTATTATTTTTGTACAACAATTTTTTCAATATAATTTACACCATTCTATTAGCAAATTTTACATGGAGTATAACATAAAAAAATTTAGGATCGTTATATATTAAATGTAATTTGAATTATTTTCGAATTAAATTTGAATTTCATTTACTTTTTAGATAAAACTTGGATTTTATTTCAATTTATTTACTTCTACATTCAACTTAACTTACTCGCTACTAGCTCTGCATTTGTCAACGAGGTGGTAAACAAAACTATATAAGTTGTAAAATCCATTTGACAATATCGATAATGATATAATTATATGATGTTTTCAAAGTATTAGGATGCGCAAACTACTATTGTAGTATTGTATTAATATTATGTTATTTAAAAAAAAAATTGCATTTTAATTTTTGATCCCACCATACAAAAAGTCTGGGTCTACCCCTACTCTGTGATCCATGCAATTGTCT